TAGTAGTAGTAGTAGTAGTAGTAGTAGTAGTAGTAGTAGTAGTAGTAGCAGTAGCAGCAATAGCAGTAGTAGTAGTAGTGGTGGTGGTGGTAATAGTGGTAGTAGTGGTGGTGGTAGTAGTTGTACTAATAGTAATGGTGGTGATAGTAGTAGTAACGGTAATGGTAGTAGTAGTGATAGTGGCAGTGGTAGTAGTGGTGGTGGTGGTGGTGGCAGCACTAGTGGCAGTAGTAGTGGTAGTAGAGATGGTGGTGGTAGAGATAGTGGTGGTAGTAATGGTAATGGTGGTAGAGGTGGTGGTGGTAGAGGTGGTAGTGGTGGTGACAGTAATGATGTTAGTGTTGGTGGTGGTGATAGTAATAGTAGCAGTGGTGGTGATGATGGTAGTAGTAGCAGAAGTCATAGTAGTAGTAATAGCAATAACAACAATAATAGCAATAGTTAATAACAATAGCATTTTACATAGCTCTTTCAGGTTTGCAAAGCTTTTAATATGTGCTATCTCATTTGACCCTCCCAACAGCCCTATGAGGTAGGTGTTATTATTATCTTCATTTTACAGATGAGGAAAATGAGGCAGAACGTGGTTGAGCAACTTGCCCTGGGTCACCCACCCAATAAGTGTCTAATGCTTTATCTAAGTTCCCTGACCCCAAGTCCAGAACCCAGCCTGTGCCCCTAAGGGTCTGTACATTTCCAGGATCTGATTCCATGAAGGGCACATCAGTTACAAAATATTTTCCTTGAGATTTGGGGTATAACTTCTACTGGATAAACAAATCACATTGTCTCTCTGTTGGCCTTATTTTCTGAGCCCAGTTACTTCAATATAACATTCCCCCTACAATTTCACTGCAAAAAAAAAAAAAAGACTTAAATCCACAAGTCACATCATATATGCAATTTATGGGCTAGAATTTACATCTGAAGGGAAGCAGCCTATTTATTTTCTTTAAGGAAGCTGACATAAAATTTCCAGACACGAAGTCATAACTGAAAAAATAACCACATATTCCATAACAAAAGAAGGAAAATGTGTTCTTTCAGTAGTCTGTTAAAACTGTTTATTTCCTTAAGCCATCCAAAGGAAGCTACCCATCTCTCTTGCTCCATGAGTCACAAAGCTAAGTCTAAAGCATTAGGACAATAAATTGAAACTTTCCTCCCAAACTATAGCCAATAAAATTCATGAAACATGCAAACTGGTTAAATTAGCTTTGTAATATTTAAACTTTTTAAAAAATCCTATAGTTTCCCAAGCTCATGGTGATGTGCCTGGCCACTTTCTTCTGTCCCTCTCCCACTACTCCTGAGAGAACTGGAGATGCAGGCAGGGAAGGGTCCTACCTTGAGGGGCACCCAGAAAGCCAGAAGCCTGCAAGCTTGACAGTTAGCAGGGGGCAGGGATGAGAGTCAGGGGGAGGTGGGAGGATTTAAAGATCCAGACTCAGGCCTGTCCCAGTAATTCTCCTCTTCCTAATTAGCCAATCACAAAAAGAAAGGAAAGAGTCAGAGTATGGACCAAGTTCTGCCTGGGGGTGGGGAGGAGTCCATTTATGGCAAAGTCTCCAAAAAGGCAGTTGGGGGTAATATTCTACCCAGAATCAACCTCTTTTCCTTCTATTTCCCCCACCTCATTCTCTTCCCTGCTTCTTTCTTTCACTGGCATACCCATTCTTCTATCCTTCCTTCATCTTATTTCTTTTCCCTTTTTCTTAAGATGGCCAATGGTACACACAACTGATTTAGGAACCAATATAGGCACTGATGTATCTGGCAGCTTCTTACCTCTTGGCCCTGAGAGCATGGGGCAAAGAAGGAAATTTGGGATTGGGAATAAAATGGATTGGAGCCCTTGGGTTTTTAAAGCACCAGGGCCCATAGCTCTGGTTCAAAGAAATCCCCCTGCCTGACAGGTCGAAAGTGGGATAAATACCTGTCTCATGAGTTCCTCCTGGCGCATTCGGATTCTTTCTCTTTCCATCTGGATCCTCTGGAGGCGTAGTTTTTGCTGCTGCTGTTGCTGGGTGGTCAGGGCATTGGGCAAACTCATCAAGCCCGCCTGTGGGTTTGGGGCTGGGTGGTTCTGCTGGGACAGAGTGGTGTTAGATGCCATCTGCTGCTGGTGCTGGTGGTTCATCACTGAAGGGGAAGAAATGAGAAGATGGTTAAGGCTGAAGGCCCAAAGAAATGAGAAACTTATAAGCTTGGAGGGAATAGGTCAGACTCTCAAATCTTTAAGGAGGATTTTTTTCTTTCTCTTTTATTAAAAGTCAACCATAATGAAAATAGCAGCTATCATTCATGAAGTTCTTTAAGGTTTACAAAGTGCTTTACAAAATGCTCTACATCACTATGGATTAGAGAAATGCAAATCATAACAACTCTGAGATACCACATCATACCTATCAGATTGGCCAACACGACAAAACAGGAAAATGATAAATGTTGGAGAAGATGTGGGAAAATTTGAACACTAATGCATTGTGAGTGGAGTTGTGAACTGATTCAACCATTCTGGAGAGCAATTTGGAACTATGCCCAAAGGCTATAAAATTGTGCATACCCTTTGACCCAGCAATACCACTTCTAGGGCTGTATCCCAAAGAGATCATAAAAACTGGAAAAGGACCCACAGGTACAAAAATATTTATAGCAGCTCTTTTTGTGGTGGCAAAGAATTGGAAATTGAGGGGATACCCATCAATTGGGGAATGGCTGAACCAGTTGTGGTATATGAATGTAATGGAATACTACTTATAAGAAATGATGAACAGACGGACTTTAGAAAAACCTGGAAAGACTTATATGAACTGATGCCGAATGAAATGAGCAGAACCAGTAGAACATTACACACAGTAAAAGCCACATTGTGCAATGACTGGCTTTGATGGACTTGGCCCTTCTCAGCAATGCAAGGATCTAAGACAACCCCAAAAGACTCATGATGGAAAATGATATCCACATCCAGAGATAGAACTATGGAGACGGAAGCGTACTATTTGTTCTCCTTTTCTTTTGTTGTTTTGTTTTATTGCTTCATTCTTTTGGTTCCCCCCATTAGTTCTAATTCTTTTTTACATCATGGCTAACATGAAAATACGCTTAATATGAATGTATACGTAGAGCCTATATCAAATTGCATGCCATTTTGTGGAGGAGGGAGGAGAGGGAGGGGGAGAAAATTTGAAACTCAAAGTCTTAGGGAAGTGAATGTTGAAAGCTAAAAATTAATTAATTATTTAAACATTTTTAAAAACAAAAAATGAGTGCTTTATAAATATTATCTCACTGGATCCTCACAAGGCTCCTGGGGGTAGGTGTACAACTCTCACCCCCATTTGACAGATGGGGAAATCAAGGCAAATGAGGCTAAATGACTGACCCAGAGTCACCCAGTTAGTATGTGATTAAAGCTGGACATGAACTCAGTTCTTGCTGACAAGACCAGCACCCTACCCACTGTACAACCTGGCTGTGCAGTGATAGCCATGGAGAGAACAGTGAAGATACAGCCTCAGTTCATACTGCTTTGGAGAGACAAAGGGTTCTCTTTATCACGAGCACTTTAGTAAATGTTTGCTATGGATGGTACTGATGACAAATAGAATTCCAAGTTAATTTAAGTATAGAAATTACATTTTGTAAATGAATATTTTAGTGAGTAATTAAATAAGGATTATGGTTTTTAAACCATTGTCCTTTCATAGTGGATGTCTTACTTAACCACCGGAGAGCTGATAAAGAACAGTATGTCTTTCTGACAAAGAAGCAGTGCCAAGGAAAACGTGGCATTATTTGACCAGCACACACCACCTCTAGCCATTACTGAAAAAGAAAATCAGATGTTTGCTTTTCTTCATATTTTGGTTTCTCAAATATTATATCATCTGGAAGCGTAGCAGAAAGATCTCTGACTCCAAAATCAGTGGAACTGCAAAATCAAATCCCTCCTTTGAAACCTCCTATTTGCCTGCATGACCTTGGGCAAGTCACTTGAAGTCCCTGAGCCTCAGTGTCCTCCTCTGTAAATTGAAGGGGTTGGATAACTTCTGAGGTTTCCTTCCAATTCCAGATCTGAGGTTTATAGGGTCATAGATTTATAAAGAGAACTCAGAGGGCACTGAGTCACATAATTGCAGACCAAAAGACAGAAGGAACCTCAAAGGTCATTAAGACTGACCCCATCATTTTGTATTTGGGGGAACTGAGTCCCCAAGAAGTTAAGTGATTTGTCCATTGCCACACAGCTAGTAAATGTCAGGGGTGAGATCTGAACCCAGGACCTCCTGATCCTATGTCAATCACTCTATCTTATTTCAAAAGGCAGTTCACTATGTTGAGGCTAAAGCTACATAAAGAAAAGTTACTGAAATGAACCCCGTTTCCACCTGTTGTCAGATGAGCGAGGGTCTCCACTTGAAGGACTATAAGATAACAAACAAGCAAAACTCTCAACTAACACACTGTTTTATACATAGTAGGTGCTTAATGAGTGCTTATTGAATTGGGTTGAACTATAGTAATGAGACAGAAGAGTTAACAGGCTGATCAATTACTCTAGAGATGGAAGGGACGTTGGAGTCCAACTTCCTCGTTGTACAGATGAGGGAACTAATACCCAAAAACATGAAGAGACTGGACCAAGGCAATAAGCACCAGAGACAGGATCTGAACCCAGAATCTCTGACTCCAGAGACAATGCTTTTTCTATTCCAAAACTCCAGATACCCAGCATTCACTTTGATTCTTGCAAGAATCAGGGGTAATAATTTTCTCCTCTTTCTTCCTTTTGGGGGGACATCTATTTAAACAGGAACAAAGGATCCTCACTGTTTTTCCCAGATAATTTCTAGAATGTAGTTGCCAAAAAAAAAAAAAAAAGGGTACACATTTATGCCTAAATGAGGTGGCTTTGTATGGACAGTGCCAATTCAGCATCTTCCACAGAAATTCAGCTATTTGCTTCATGAGGAATTCCTGACCCGAGAAGAAAAGAACTTTTTAGCGTTCCAGGTTAGGAATATTTTACAATGTGATTGTACAGTACAGACGCTTTTCAGCAAAGGAAGAGATGGCCTCTTATTAGGTCCTTTACTAAAGAAGGGCAGGGAGTCGTCCCCAGAAATCATTCCAGTTCCACATTCTGGGTGTAAAGCTGGTTTATACACACCAAGAATGTGTCCTGTTATTGAACCCTCAGAGGCAACCAGATGCTCCTCAGCAGATTTTATTAATGTCTGAAACCTTATCTGGGGGAGTCTCAAGCTGGAAAGAAAACTCTTCAAGGACCACACCCTTGCTGGAACATTCAAAGCACTCAGTCCTCAAAGGGAGATCTCTGGGGAGAGAGGGAGGGTGGATCGAGGGAACAGGCTTTTTCCAATTAAAGTTAGATTCAACCCACTCAAAGCTCAGCACGTCTGCTGGCCAACGGAAATAGAGGTCAAAAGATAGCCGTGCTTGAACAATGAGATTGTTTTTAAGAAGCAATGGTGGCACTTTCTGTAGGAGAAAGGAACTAAAGACAAAGTAGAAGCTTATCCACTGGGAAAGTAGGGTGCAACTGCACTGTAACAAACAGAAAAGCATGGGAAGATTTCTGTGAACTGATGTAAAGTAGGCAGAACCAGGAAAACAATATTCATGGTGACTATCACAATGTAAATGAAAAACAAATGACTATTTAAGCAGCTAAGTGGCACAATGGGTAGAGCCCGTGACTCAGAAACACCTGAGTTCAAATCTTGCCTCAGACACTTAGTTCCTTTGTGATCTTGGTCACAGATCTCCGCCTCAGTTTCCTCATCTAAAAAGTGAGGATAATAGATAATAATAATAATAATAATCTATTTGTCAGCGCTGTTGTGGGGATAAAACGAGAAAGTATTTGTAAGGCACTTTGTAAACTACCTTATTCACCAAGGGATATTCTTCAGTCCAGGACACTGATGTCCTGGCTATTCCATAAACAAGATACTTCATCTCTCAGCTCTGGGCATTTTCCTTCATTTTTGCCTTGTCCCTGGAATGCTCTGATTACTGACCTTCCCTACTTCCTTTAAGTCCCAACTAAGATCTCACCTTCTATAGGAAGCCTTCCCTAATTATTAAGATCATTCTCTCAATTACTTTTATGCTTCCCCTCGATTATTTCCTATTTATCCTGTATATAGCTTGCTTTGTTTGTATTCAGATGTTTTCTCCTCCCTTAGATTATAAGATCTTTGAGGGAAGGGACTATCTTTTGTCTCTCTTTATCTCCCTAGCACTTAGCGCAGTGCCTGGTTTATTGAATTGAACTGAAATGCTAACTATTATTAAACTTAATTCTGGGAAATAATTGTGACCCAGATTGCTCATGAAGAAGAAATAAGAAAATATAACTTCCTTCCTCCTTTTCAGAGGAGGACTATGCATTCATTTCATATATAAACAGGCTGAGATAATGACCTAGCTGCCTCCAATGCGAAGAGAGGTGGAATGACTGGCCTAGGATCACATAGCTAGTTAGTGTCTGAGGCCAGATTTGAACTCAAAGACTGACTCTCTGCCCTTGGAAGACAGATTATAGGAAAGTAACAATCATCCACAGGTTTCCCTGGACTAAGAAATGGTAAGGACCAAAGAGATCATTTAGAACCAGCCCATTGTTTTACAGATGAGGAAATAGGGCCAAGAAAGAAGAAATGCCACCATGCTGAAAATGAACAGAATACTATGGATTCTGCATGTGATAATCCTGCCTCCTTATGAGGGTAGAGTAATACTTCATCTTAAAATATGTATATTCAGAGAGTTATTCCAAATGTATTATCTGAAGCCAGACTGGATTGTGGGCAGATTGCCGTAAGCCTCCTGAGAAAAATTAATGACCTCTTCTACACTCTTTGCCAGTCTCAGCAGAAGGAAATAACCCAAACAGAAACTGCTCCATCCCAGCAAAAGTGCATCAAATCTCCAACAGGGAAGTCTTTTACTTTTCTTTCCAAGAGAATAAGAATCGACATCTCACATTTATCTTTCTTTCATTGTTGCTTTCATCAGAAGGAAAGTTGGAAGACCTCAAAATAAATAGGTTTCTCAATCATTATTTTTGGAAATGGATGAATTCATGCAACATAGATATTTGACCCCTAGTT